AACGCAATACAGAGAAGTCAAATCACTTCTCCAGATAGGCAGAATGCTCTCATACAGAAAGTAGGCATGTGCATGGGTTCTGACTTTCATATTCAGCTTTGTATTTGTGGGGAAGAGGGTGGGTTTGCATACAGATTTATTTATATTTGAAATAGCTTGATTTTATAAAGCACAAAATTCACTAGAATTAGAAAAGAGGAGGGACAAGAGTAGCATGCAGGGATTTAACTACTGTTAAATTAACACCTGGATGTAGAAAGTTTCCGTTTGCATGTCTCTACAGCATGGGTTAGCCAGTGTCAGAGGATGTAAGTTTTCTTTACAGAAACAACAACAACAAAAAAAAAAGTCAAATAAAAGTAAACATAGCTTAAAATGCAAACATTGTCCTCATAGGAAAATCCACATATTTTCTGCATCTAGTAACAAATCAAGCTACTGTGAAGCCCCTCCTGGTGGTCATTAGTCATGCAAAGAAGAAAGCCAGTAAACTGCAGTTCTTAAAAAGAAAGAATTGTCTGTTTACATTGTAGTGCTGTTTGGAAATTACCATAGAACAATAAATCTGTAAGTATGAAAAGTATTTCTTCTGCTTTCATAGTATACATAAACACACATGCAACCAACATAGTGGCAGCAACACCATTTGTTTAGGTTTCATTAAGATGTGTAGTTAAAAGCCTTATTAAAAGGGTCCATTTCTCACTTCAGTGATTATATTTATTGCATGAGGGTTAAGTAAAGCTTCAGAGGAAAAATGAGGCTTAAGAATATTGTCGTATTTTACCAACTTTTCCAATGAAAACATTTCCTGCAAAGACTGCTTGGGTGGAGGGTTGAGATTTCACCACAGTGGATATTTTTGCAGTATTTTATATAAAAAAATAGACAAACAAAATAAACCAGCTCTCACAACCTCAAAACACACACACACATACAAGCTTCTTAAGGAAAAAGGCAAATGATATTTAACAGGTTTGGCTTTTTTTCAGTTATTATTGCTTTCACAAACCTGATAAGGAGGACTTAGTTTTAAAGGTAAAGAAAGAAAAGAAATTAAAAAGTTTTCAAACTCCTTTGTTCAGTTTAAGTGTTTGCATGGTGAAAAGGAAATGTTCTTCCGCATACTTGTACTTTCAAGCCAACTGATTTATGCAATAATTTAGGAAGTCTTAATTTTTCATACTGCTTGTGCTTAATTTCACTTTCAGTGTTAACTTATGTCCATGACCACAGACCCTTTCCTCCCTTCCCAGAAATCCAATTTCACTCATGTGAAATAAAATTTGGAACGAGCTCTTTTCTCTTTCTGTGCCTAGACTCCCCTCTGTCAGAAATAGCTCCTAGTTGTGCACTGAAAGGTTGGTAAGGCAGGTTCCTCCAAAGATGCTATGACCATTACTTTGCTGTCAGTCAGCAGTAGTTTTGGGAGGGTAATTTTTTTTCTTAAACTGACCTACAATTATAATTTAAAGAGACTGTATTGGCTTCCCTTTTGGTTGGTTACTATTTTCTTCATTTGTTGCCTGAGTTGGCTTGCCTTCTATCCTATTTTTTTCATACCTGTTTCGTTAGGAATACCTACCAAAGCAGGCAGTTGGAGTTGCAACACAGCTCTTTTCTGGACACTCTCAGAAACCACACGGCAATAAGTTTTTTTTCTTCTGAGCCAGAACGTAGTCCTATCATATAAGTCCTTCTTTCTTTCCAGTATCTGTCATCATATTGCTGAAAACTAATTAAAAGATACACATACAAACCTGCAAGGAAACAAGACACCTGAACAATGCTGTTTTCAGAGAAGCACAAAATTCTTTGCAATGCTCTATAAAGACCTGCCCTTCTGTGCCTCTTAGCTAATTATCACTGAGCAGATTGAGACTGAAACAAGAGGCCACACATTAATGTGACATTAAGCATTAAGTAAAGATCTTAAATTGTTTTATCTTGGTTTAATTTATTTAGAGAGGCCTGATAACCTAAAACCTCTGTTTTCTCACAGCTCAGGAATGGCACATAAGGAATTATCGTTAAGTTTCTCCCACCTGCCCTGCCAACATAGTTCATGTCTTACCCATAGCGAACATTGTCCAAGGCCAAAGCACTAATTTCCCTTTGTTTGGTGTTTGTACTCAGAGTTTCTCGTTTAACCTTCATACGCACCCCACACTGACACAGTGTTACTATAACATTCATTTAGTTCCAACTAGATTGGGCTGGCCAATCTAGTTGGAACTGGCCACCACATTTCAGTACCAGCTCTCACATCTTCTGTGAAACAGTGGTGGTGTTCCATCCATTCTTAGCATCCTGTGTAAATGCTGAGTAGTAAACCTAGGGAAAAAACCTCTGGTTTTCCACATTCATGTTTTTTACCTATCATAAAACAATTTTCCTGTTTGTTTATATATATATAAATAATATATATGCATTTTTTTTTTTTTAAGTACAGAAAAGCTTTTACTAATATACACAATGTAAAAAATCCAATTGCAGGGTTTCTGTAAATTTTCAGCATGAAGTTCTCTGGATAATGATTAGCTTAAAATGCCCTCCAGTTTTAATGCACAAAAATTGCTTTCCAAAGAAGAAAAATAATCATCAGGACTGCCATTTTTTCCTCATTAAAATTCATAACATTCTGGCTAAACCTGTATAATAAATGCAAAATTTCTTGTCTTGAGAGATGTAACAACATGCAAAAGCATTCTGAGTTTTGTACACAAAAATCTGCACTCCGTACTCTCAGGTACTCTCTCAATTACCCTCAAATACAGAAACTGAAGAGGAAGGCACTGATCTGAAACCTTGGGAAGGTCAGAGAACATCTGTTTGCCCCTTAGGGCAGAATTCAGACCACTGCTGTACTTTTTATGCAGAATTTGAGGATCCTTTTGTACCACAATTTGAATGGACTTCAGCAGCTTCTGTGCTATTTTGTTAATTTTTTTTATATCTATACATGCGAAGATCCACTCTTGTAGAATAAAATGGAGATTTAATGACATATCATGTTTCTGACTGTGAGTTCAGTTTCCCTTTAGTCAGGAAATTCTCTACAAACTGCACATCAGAGGTGGCTTGCATGAATCTGTGTATTCACCCTTATTTACGCTAATTGCCTTTTTACTGTTTCTTCAAACATTAAATGTTGAGTTCTGTCCAAAGGAGTGATCATCAGTAGCTGCTGAAACAAGTATATTTTTATCTGTTTCAGGTTCTGGATTATATTTATAACAAAAGATCATTGTGTGAACAACCCATTAGATGTTAAGTTTTTCATTTTGCAGTACTGAGCATAGAAATGTTTTTCTCCTCCTGATGACTTTGTAAGAAGAAATACATCTAAAACCTCTGGCCCGTAATCATCCTAGGACCCTAACTAAAAAGTGCTTTTAGGAAGTGCAAAGATATAATAGTCCCAAAATGAATCTGCCCTACAGTTCCATTTTCTGCCATACAATCGTTTGGGAGCTTATCATTGAAGCCACATTAGTCTTGATTTAAGGTCTTTTGACACATTATTACAGCACACTGCCATCACTTCACACCTGCCATTCTGTCACTCAGAAGAGAGGGAGGGGAAACAATTTTCATGTCAATCAACAAATCCTTTGGGAGGTGTAACCTGTTAAGACATATTACCCTTTACCCATTGAGATTTACAGGCTTTGAATGTAAAGGACATATGCCAGAAATAATTAAAGACTTACTGTAACTGCTTATGAATGAAGGCATTAAGCACCATCAGCACTTTTACATTGTCCAGAAGAAGAAAGAAAGAGGACCTGACTGTAGTACTACTACTCCTTCTGTTTCTATTAATCAATTTTTCTGCCTGGATATTAAAATCCTCTGATCTTACAGAGCAAATATTTAGAATAGTAGCCATTAACACTTGTATTAGTGTCGTAGCAAAGTATAGATGATTCTAGCATGATGTAACATTGCTTATGCAACATTGTTTATGAATCAAGACATCATTTTAAAAATAGAAACAATGAAATTACTGAAAAAAATTCTAGCAAAATAGAAAAAAAATATTACTCTGTCCCATACATTCTAATGGCCACAAAAAATCCCAGTTTCAACCTGGAGAATTACAACTTATATAAACACGGAACTGGAACACCTTGCAACTATTTTGTTGTAATTTACTGAGAGCATCAAAGGAACAATGTCAACCTCAAAATCTGAGGACCTAAATTCTGAGCTGAAGGAGACTTTTTTGTTTTTATTTTCCCCCATGCTAGGTTTTCAGAATGACACAGAAGAAAAGAAGCATTTACACAGTCTACTTGTTCATGTTCACAACTCATCTCTGGAAGGAACATCTTGTCCTTTGACTGACCTTAGAACTACAAGAAAAGGAAATAGCTACAAAACAAGAATAGCTATGGAGTAAATAAAACAGGCAGGGACTATATAGCCCAGACAGAGCTAGAATAAAAAAAAAATTATATTGTAAATCTTTTTACACTATTGCACCATATTACCATACATACAGTTTGTTTGGACTAGAAATGGGATAGAACTGTGGAAGCTCTTACTTGCAGTTATCATGGCATACTGCCAAATCACTACTGGGGGCAACTTTGGGAGCTAATCTGAAAAAAACATTGTCCAACAGGCAAATCCTATATCATTAACTCACCATCACTGAACTAGAACAAGTGATATTCCTTTCCTCTAAGGAAACATGGTCAAAGGGAACATACTCTTTTCTACATCTTCTTCCTGCCTTACCCTCCTCATTGCATACACATGCACTGGCAGAGAGAAGGTGGAGTTAGGGAGAAAAAAGCAATTGCTCTCAACTGTGCTGCAGATCTTTAGGGACCAATACATCACCCTCCTAGAGAAACAAATGCTACATGGCATGCTCTAGTGATAGTGTGGGTATCAATATCACACAACTGATTTGTATTCACAAATAGTTTTCCCCAGGAAGGTAGAGATTCACACGTGGATGAAAGTATTATGTACACATCTGTTTATTAATTGATCTGAAGGAACAAAAGGGCTAAATTATTCTTAGTTGGTGATAGTGACAAAGGCGTGTACCGGTAACTGTCAATAATCTATTTCCCAAAACACGGGAATCATATATGAAAGACTATACCTTCTCAGCTCTCGTAATTTAAAGTATTCTGAGGATGGTGAGAAGTTGAAAAACAAGGAAGTAGAAATGAGAGGTAGATTTTGATATACCATTTTACACAGAGGAAGGAAGAAAACAAGTGCTTCTTCAGCATCTGTCTCCCCTCACTTTTAAATATGCCATCTGTCTGACTGGATACTATTTGCCTCTTTTTGCATTTTCATGGTACCTAAGCACCTCTACTATTACATTTTTCACCATCTGCACCATCTGCACTGTGTTTTGCCCTCTCTGGAGGTGGCTCAGGCATCACCACATTAGCCAGTCCTTTTGCCTCAGATTCAGCTGGCTGCTGCATTAACACGCATCAGCAAACTGTCCCTTGACTGTAAGCTATAGTGGAAGTGAAAAAAATGGTACACCAGTTCTTACACAAGAAGCTAAGATTTTATAGGACAGGCCAGAACTACTGATTTCAGGAAACATCAGCACTCATAGCCATGCATAAACCAGAAGCCAAATAACTATATCTAACACAAAAGCGACATACTATAAGCAGTGTCTTGTATTATGTAGAAATTATAACATGAAGAAGCTGTATGTTTCCCACTGGAAGCTGATGGCTGGTTCTGCTTTTACCTTTATAGGTGTAAAGCAACACTGGCAATGGAGTAAATCTGGTAGGAAATGTGGTTTAAGCTGGTAGAAAATGTTATTTGAATCAGTCTCCTAGTTTGAAGCTGGTCAGAATAGAGCCTTGTCAGCCCAGAAGACTGTCGAATATGCTGTGACATTTAATCAACTGACTACAGGCTTACCTCTAGTGTCTGTGGTGAAGTGAACATGATTCCCCTCACCTTGCTTCACATCACACATCACTATTCAGTGCACTGCTGTAGAGAGCTGGGTTATAGCCTTTTTTTTTTCCCCTAAGAGGAACACAGTAACAGAGGTCAGCTACAGTCATGAATTTTATGAAAGGTTTGCTGGGAAACCACATTAAATAGCAACATCAGTCCATACATCAGCTCTGCAGTGCTCTTATTCCAAGACTCTGCAGCTGAGTGATTTGCAATGTACCTGCATTTCACGGCCATCATTTTTAAGCAATGTCATTTACCTTGGTATCAGACACTTCAGCTGCACTGGAATCCACCCAGCTATTAATGATAAATTTCCTCCAAGAAAAAGATCTTCACCTGAAACACACTCCCAGGATCCCCAAACTCCAATCCTGAGAAACCTTGGATATAAAACCAGACACTTCAATAGAAGCTGGAGAGGAAAATATGAGAACAAAATTACTATCCCAGGATTCAGAAATGTAACAAATTCGGATTCAAAAATGAAATAGGACCATTTCCTTGTATTTACTGTTTGGACTAACCTACTCTTAGTTTGTAGCAGCCTACCAAAAACATGCAAAATAAACACTTGTACTTCTGATCAACTCAAAAATCTCTAACACTGTCACAACCCAGAGAAGCATATATTTTGGGCAAACAAGCAAATCTAGCATTATTATTTCCAGCATATAAACCTCCAGATCAGAGGCCTACTACATTAGCATCCATGTGCACATAAAACAGAAGGCTAGATCTAGCAGAGCTGACGCTATGTTTGTCTGTTGCTGTGATCCTAATCCTGCCATTTACAATACTGAGACATTCAGTTAATATGGATGAGGATGACAGAATGCTGTTAAAGCATAAGATGAGGTCTATATCATAAATATGGCAAATATGCTTTGTTTGTGAGGTTTTCTAAGGAAAATCAATGCTAGTGATATTTTTCCTAGAGAATATTTTTTTTCCAACGATATTGCCTCTATTCTCATCATGATGCCACATACTTTCGTGTTGAATTATATTATTGATATTAGTTCCCAGTAGAAGTTTTAGTATTGTAAAATATTTAGTTACTGAAGTAATCTTATGCCAATAACATCATAGATCCGCTAAAACTGTCAGTATCCAAATGCGCTAAAACAACAGTCCTCTTAGTTCTCTCTGAGAAAAGGGTTACTCAAAAAGTAACAATAAACACATAAAATTGTTGTGGTAGCATTTCTACAACATGGAAAGAGCCTCTACTACCATAAATAAGCTTAATGAAAGTATAATAAAAGTAGTACACCTACTGGAATGTTTCAAAGTACTAGACATTAGGTTATGATCTTTATGGAGATCTTTGCATCTTGGAAACTGTCTTTACTGGCATATTCTAGAGGATTCTGCATGAAATCTGCCATGGAACTTACAGACTAACTCATTGTAACTGCAGACCATGACATGTGTAATGGCCATGTTCATTTTACAACTGTTTGTTCCTCAAGCTCTAATGCAACAGGCATCAAAATATTTTTAATTTGTTCAGAAAGCCATTATTCACCTAAATCTCATGTTTATTCTATTTTGTACCGACTAAGATGCATCTGTCTCCCCAGGACATGCAACAGTCCCAAACATCAGTTGAAACTGTGGTTGGGAAAAATTCATTTTTAGAAGCCAAAAAGATGATCTTACTGCCAGAAGAATTCTGTGTATTGAAGCACCAACATTCAAGGAGATGTGTTAGCTGGGCATTGTCATCCTGAATCAGTGGAAAGCACACAGAGAGACTGACCAGGGAGGGCAGTCAAAGCATAGAGAAATACTAAAGGGAGTAGTAATGCAAATCACAAGTCTCAAGAAGGTAGCAGTTAATTATTCTTGCAACTCAGGAAGGCTGTTCCCAAAGTGGCTTTATATACTAAAGTCTTAAATGTCAGATGTCTTGCAACAACAGCAATACTTATACCTGGATGCACAGCCCTACTAATTTCCCTTACAGATCCTGATGCCAGGAGTCTGTGTCTGCAACTCAAAGGAAACAGAGCAGTGCTGCAGGTGTGACAGCAGTACAGCATCTGGTCCAGTATTTAGGAAAAAGCTGAACTTTGTTTCCTTATTCAAGAAAGAAAAAGATGAAAGGCATCCAATAGCTATGGACCTTTAATGGCCTGGAGAAGCAGCTGTAAGGGTTTCCTCAGTTTTCCCACTCTCTGCTTCCACATACATAATTTCTATTGCGAATTTTCCAGTAATCACTGTAAGTGCCTATAACATTACATATCCACTACTCTGAATCAAAGATGCTTTACCAGAAGGACTTAAGTGGTCTATTGTCTCCACCTATTTAGGCAGGCCCTCTGTATTCATGACAAGGAGAAACTGCGCTGCTTGAACTACTGTTAACAGTATTATGGTTGTGAAATCCTACTTCTAGTTGACCCTTTTGCAGACAAGGTTTACTGACTCACCTTGCTTTTGTTCTTAAGTCTCCACTTTATCCCACTGGCATGGCACTCAGTCTACAGAATGTCTTCTTTTGCCCCAAATCATCTAAGCAAAATAGCCCTGCTCCCAGGAGTAGGAGACCATGGACACTGAGGCAGTTGAATGAAGGGGTTGGTAAGATGGGATCAAAAATCACAGTAGGTTTTATTTCCATTTATACCTTAAGGAACTTTGTATAAATAGTAATTGATTGACTTAAATCTTATCTGTGTCCTAGTTGTGAATCAAGAAATATCAAGAAAGGATTGGCTGACCTCTTGGCAATTCTGGTAAAGATTAGGAGCAAGTGTTTACATAAGAAGATTGAACCTGTGTTATTTGAGCCAAAACCAAAGGAACTTGTACAGGAAATTTCAGTGCATTATAGCATTTCCCAGATGTTTAACTGTAAGTCTGAATCCCTTCCAGGTCATACTAAAACCCAGAGGTTGTCTGCTGATGCCTGACAGGCACCCAAAAAATGAGTTCTTAGTGTCAGTTCAATGCTTAAGAAAACTCCTCAGAAAATGGCCACCAGAGTGAATACTATGTGTGGTACTTGTTAATTAATTAGTACTACACAGCAAGGAAATCTCCCCAAAAAACAGGCCTGGGAAGAAAGGCAGAGTTCTTTTTTCACGTATTCTTGGTTCTTTACTTGACAAAGAGGACAAACTTCTGGGGCATCTACAGGAAAAAAAAAAAAAAAAAGTCCACCAAACACCTGCCTTGCCTCCCTTTACATTATAGCTCTTCTACAGAGCCAGAGAAACGCAGTCTCCAGCACTGCCATTGTGATGTTCTTTGTGAAAGAAAAAGTAAATACGCACATCCATAATTTCCAGCTATATTAAAAGCTTAAGAGTGCTGTCACCTTCTTCAATGTCTATATAGCTTGGTAAATAAGGAAGAGAGTATGCTTCTGGCAAAACCATTGGGCATTCTGTGCTCAGCCTTCCCTCCTGAAATAAAATGCAGCACTAAGTTTTTCACATCGGTTGTTTGATGTATGGCTCTGTTCTATCTCATCATTCTAGTATGAGTCAACAAACATAAGAGAGAAATTCTTCTGTTTAAATCCTTTACTTCAACAGAAGTAAATATCTTACTTTTAGAAAGCACATTTCTTAAAGATAAAATACAATTCTACAATACTCTTTCAGATAGATTTGCCATAAGTCAGATACCCTTGTTCAAATAATGGACTTTGAACCTAATTTATCTCATGCCTTCAAGAAGTACAGAAGTTGCTGTTATTAAGGTGCTCCATTATGAGAGTCTGTGACTGATACAATGAGTTGTTTTTCAGCTGTGCTGTGGTTGGCATTGTAAGTCTTCTGGTTGAATGAAAAGGCAATTAAGGAGGAAAGTATTTAACAAGAGACCAAACCAAAATGATACCAGTTTTAAAGACAGATCATTATTACAACATTTAAACTGTCATTCAGCTAAAATAAAATAATATAGAGCTGCAGGGGACGCTGACAAGGGTTATGGGAACAAACCTATTAAGTTGGGAGGAAAAAAATACCTAATGCTGTAATAATACCTTTGAATCAAGTACATTTGTTTTTCACTTCCCTTTCATTCCTTCCTAAATTACAAGTGCAAATGGGAGCAAACAGAAGTTCCTTAATCAGATGACCTTATCAAACCTATAGCTGGATGACTCGTATACCTATATGTAATTTTCTATTATTTTGGGGTTTTCTTCCAAATACAAGCTTTGTTCCAAAGTTTTAAATGTATCTTTCAAATTTTGGGGAAACTACTTCAGTGTGTAATAAATCCAGAAAAAAAAAAAACAGCTGAGTTCTCCTATTGCTCAGAGGTTATAACACAGTCATATGTGAGAAAACACTCCTTGTACTACATACAAATATAATATGCATATGCCAGTACTGGTAAGTACACTATAGTGTAAAATAGGTAAGTGGAAGAAAATAAAAGCAAAGCTTTGAAAGGCACTAATAATAGCTGTTTTTTCAGTTAAAGCTGGACTACACATTGTACAGTGTAGGTCTCCTGAGGTGTAGTTATCTGAGATTTTTAGTTTTCCACAAAATGTCATTAATTATATCTAATTGTTGCTCTTCAACACAGTGTTCCAGCAAGGTACTTACAAGAACTGACGAACTTGATATTACCTGTAGTAGGGAGATGCCAATTTCGGGTCAGTCTGCTTGTTAACTATTATTTGACATATAAATAGTGCTTGCTCATTTAATTTGATGTTAGTGCCAGAAACTGGACCAAACCAGATCTCATCAGGTCACAAACTTTAATTATCTAAAAATTATGTCCCGGTGCAACTTGCATTCATCTCTGGATTAGATTGTGTTGCCCTTAATGACACTGTTTAGTATTCAGAGACTTACAGGAGGGTTTTTCGGAAGAGACAGCAAAATCAGAGCTTCTGATTTTTGCTTCTAATTGTGCTGAAGGCATTAAATATCAATTCAGTTGAGTTGTGTCTGAAACTTTCCTTCCTTCCTTCCTTTAGCACCAGTATTTCTATGAAAGCCAGCTACAGTGCACTTAACTCTTCCAAAACAATAAAAGAAATGGCAATTCATGAACAAATCTCACCAACTGCCCATCTTTCCTAAACAATTTATCAAGGCTTTAATGTAAAGTCTAGAAAAGTTTCTTCTTGCCCTTCCCATCCTTGCCCACCCTAAAATTCCACTCAAGTTGTGAAACTGGTCTGCTGTTCACACTGAGTAGGGGTTATGTAGCACAGCTCTTAATGATTAACAGGCTTTCAGGTTTATCAAACTGTGTACGGTTCTTTTAAAAAACATCTTGCAAACAGCTTAACTCACAACACCATTGGCAAGAGTTTTACTCCATAGATTCTTAACCTGAATTGCTACAGAGCAAGCAAAGGGGAAATTAATCATGATTGCAAAAAGCACCATGGGACCAATTCACATCTGACATGAATCAACTTCCACTGCAAGCATAAGAGTATCTCTGTGAACACTGGGTATGGTATTTCATAGGGAGTAGAAAGACCTTTTAAAATTATTTTCCCACATGAGATAAATAATTTAAAAGTTGGGGGATTAGTATAAAAAAGGAACCTCATGGCTTCAGTCAGAAAAGAT